ACAGACACACCTGGAGAGCAGAGATTCTTACATCCTTCTACAGACACTTCACCTGGAGAGCAGAGATTCTTACATCCTTCTACAGACACTTCACCTGGAGAGCAGAGATTCTTACATCCTTCTACTGACACATCACCTGGAGAGCAGAGATTCTTACATCCTTCTGCTCGGTCTGGATTTCTCCTTGGCCTTCAGCACCATCATCCCACAGACACTGGAGCAGAAGTTCTCCTTTCTTGGACTGAGTCCCACACTGGACAACTGAATTCTGGACTTCCTGACTAACAGACTGTATGGCTCCACAACATCGTCTCCTCCTCCATCACCCTCAGCACTGGCTCGCCCCAGGGCTGTGTGCTGAGCCCCCTCCTGTTCACCCTGCTGCTCGGCTAGACACCAGCTGTCATAGTTAAGTTTGCAGACGACACAGCAGAAGTGGGACACATCACGAACAATGATGAGTCCAAATACAGAGAGGAGGTGGAACACCTGGTGCAGAGACAATAATCTCCATCAATGTGAAGAAGACCAAGGAGGGTGGTGGATTTCAGAAGGGACAAGGATCCTCTTCATCCCCTACACATCGGAGGAGCAGCTGTGGAGGTGGTCTCCTGCTACAGGTACCTGGGGGTGCATACATCCAGTGACCTCACCTGGAGAGCCAACACTTCCTGTCTGGTCAAGAAGACCCATCAGTGTCTACTTCAAGCAGTTGAAGAGAGCTGGACTTGGGAGTTCTGCCCTGAGGAGCTTCTATCTCTGTGTGGTGGAAAACGTTCTCTGCACCTGCATCACCGTGTGGCACGGCAGCTGCACTGCTGCTGAGAGGACGGCTCTGCAGAGGGTGGTTAAGGCTGCACAGAAGACTGTGGGGAGCAGCCTTCCACCACCTTGGACCTCTACACTTCACAATGCAGTGGGAGGGCGCTCCGCATCATGAAGGACTCCACTCATCCTGCACAGTCTGTTTCAGCCCCTCCCCTTAAGCAGGCGGCTGAGGAGCATTCAGAGCAAGAGCACCAGACTCAAACAGTTTCTTCCCTGCAGCTGTCAGACTGTTGAACTGAATTCAGCTCCATCTTACATTTTTAAACTTTATTATATATATATTTTTCTTGTACTCTTTAGTATTTATTTATTAGGCTTCTGGATCTGGGACATGAGTCCGAATTTCATATCACAAACATGCAAATGTGAGCTGGTATGACGATAAAAAAAAAATCCTTGAATCCATCAACATTAGACTCACATTTCATCACCCCAGCTCCAAGGTCACAAATCAAGGTCAAAGCTAAAACAAGGTCTTTGATTGTCCTATTGCTACAGATTGCTCTATATTAGTTTGGCAACGGTCATACAATGTGCAACATATGCAGTACTCCAGTTAAAAGACTAATTTTGGATCAACTGAAGACTTCTGATATAGTTTTTGGACACTCAGACAATAAACAATTGTAACAATAAAAGATTTAGTGATGAGCCATCACTACAAGCGTCCCTTTATCCACCTGAAGCTTTAAAAAAGTTAAAGAACACCAACGTAGAACAACTTCACACTGGATCTTCTGGTCCAAAACTAGGTTTTGTCCGGGGCAACAAAAGGATCAGTGTCCACTCCTTTCCTACACATTTCTGCATGTGGATCATCTCTTCATGGATCCAGCCACATTTCTCCCCACAGTCTGTGGCTTTTGATCCAGCAGCAGCAGCGTTAGCTCGACAAACTCGAGACAACAGACGAAACAAAGCAACAATGCCCAACGCTGCACCATTGTCAGGTGGAACAATCCCCGCCGACCAGTCCCCGGGGACGAACAATGCTGGAACAGGAAACAGATACAAACCCACTTCCTGTCTTATTATTTAAATTTAGAAGCTGGTCAAAGTGGGGGGGCTCTTGTCTTGTTTTGTTAACTTGTCTAAACAGACAGATTTGGAACATGAATACAATTTTAAGGGTCTAGACAAAATCATTTGTAACAATGGATGTAAATATGAAAAAAATGGCAGACTGCCATTTCCTCCAATAAGCACTTTAAAACAGAAACACTATAAGAATGCACTGTCTGACGGGATATTATTTGGATTCTCTCTAAAAATGAAAATATATAATATCTATTGTGGTTATTTTAAGTTCTGTTAGCTCTTCACTGGTCTGTATAGATGTGAACAGGTTTTGTTTGTGCCTTCAAGACGTGCACAGCTTCCAGCCTTTAAAGATCATTTAATGTTGGTGCCAGGAGCAACTCCGTCACATTCTCCTACATTCATGTTAGTGGGAGATCATCTCTCTCCAGTTTTAGCTTCTCTCCATTGGCTCCCTGTCAAATCCAGAATTGAATTAAAAATCTTACTTCTAACCTACAAAGCTCTCAACAACCTAGCTCCATCTTATATTACAGATCTTATTGTTCCATATTTTCCTAATAGAGTATTTGCTCTCAGACTGCAGGTTTACTTGTGGTTCCTAGAGTTTCCAAAAGCAGAATGACAGGAAGACCTTTCAGTTATCAGGCTCCTCTCTTGTGGAACCAACTTCCAGATTCTGTTCATGAGGCTGACACATTGTCCAGTTTTAAGACTGGGATTAAGACTTTCCTTTTTGATAAATCCTATAGCTAGGGTCGGCTTGGGTTGCCTGAGCTATTCCTTAGTTATGCTGCTTAGACTGCTGGAGGACAAAACAACATACTGTATTCCTGTTGTTTTGACTGGTTCTACTCTACCCGTTTGTATTTGTAGTAATTTCTGTCCTTAATGCGTTTGTTGTCGTTCCTCCTATAGAAAGTAGACAAATCTTCACATGGCTGACATTGTTGCATCACAGCTTTTCTATATGGAATTTTACAGCTGTTTGCAAGCACAAATAGTGGCAGTAGCAGGCAGCTGTAGCACTGCAAGTAGGACGTGTGTGTGCTCTTAGCAAGACGAGCGTCTTCCAGTGTGCAGACAGTGCCATAGTTCATGCTGCACTCCTCCAGGCAGAATGTTGGACTGGACCTCCTCAAAACAACGACTTTCAGCCAGCATCACCCACACCCATCATCTCCATCATCCTGCAAGAACAATGAAGAACCTCCCAACATCCTCATTTCCCAGGAGCCTCTGCTCAGTTCCCACAGTACTGTCCAGATCTGAGGAGCTGGGCCATTGTTAGATCTGTCCTCTGTTACACACACACACACACACACACTTCAGCAGTCACCACCTCGCCGTCCTTCAACGAACGGTGGAACGATGGACAGGTTGCACATCTGCCGTTTCTGACGACATTAAAAGTTTTGGTGCCAGCTTCGTGGCTCTCTTTGCCAGCACGTTAAAGGTCACGCTTGGTGTTGCACATTTGTGTTCGCGTGTTCACTCAGCGCCTCGTGATTTACAAAGACAAACGCCAGGGTTGTAATCACGAACTGAATTATGAGGTGGAACAAAACGAGCTGGTTAAAATTTATGAGAGGTTTTATTGTGAGCGCGTAACTATGTGACCTTAAAAGGCAAAAAAATAAATTAATTAAAAAAAGTGATGATGCTTCGGAAAGAAGGAAAAATTGTCCCACAGATGAAACATGCGTCTGTACAGCTACACTGTGTGCAGCCTCAGCTTCAACCACAAAGCTTTGATTTAGTGTTTTTATAACAGAGTTTGAGCTTTTCTGGTGTTTTTTAGAATAAAGTAACTTGTTCAAAGCTAGAAGTACACATCTCAAACAGACAAGGTTCATGTTATAACCACATTTATGTGTTCATTATTATTACTATAAAATCACAATTCTGATGTTTTCTGGGATGTGCTGAGAATCCAGACTTTCTAAGATCACAGTCGTGTGGTGCTCACACCAAACGTTCCGCCCAAGCAGCTGAAAAAAACTGCAGAAATATCCAAAACCATCACTTATATCGTTTTACCAAAGGTTGTAGAAAATGATAACGGTCGTCTTTCTTCATCGTAATCAGAAGTCCCTTCTCGACAGAAAAGAATAAAGGACGAACAGTGCGGCACGTTTAAAACCTGAAGGTCACATGAGTCGGGGTCATTACGGCTGTAAGCGAACATGAAGAGGACGATGTCCGTCTTTACGCTGCACCAGCTGACAGAAGAACAAACAACCGCCATAAGATCAAATCAGAACCACCAGAAAGATGAATAAACATGGTGTTATCGTTACAGTGCATCATCAAGCTGGTGCACCGTATTATTACACAATCCCACAGTTAATTAAGCTCCAGCTTCTAAACGGTCTCTGCTAGTCTTGTTTAAGCTTGGGCTTATAGGAAGTCACAAGTCAGGAAGTGGAGCTGACGTGAATAGAATGGGTGGTTTTGTCCTCCACTTCACCCCCCACTTTGATTCCCGAGTGTCGTCCTCAAGGTGACAATCTGCAAATGTGAGTCTGTCAACCTGACACGAGTTAGCTCTTCTCAGGTCGGTTCCTGTTGAGAGCAGCTGTAGGCATGAACTCCAGTTTCTCCTTCAGACTGAGCACCTGAGTGCCGTCCTGGCCGACTTGCTCCTGCAGCTTTCGCTCCTCCCTCAGCTCCAGGACGCCTTTCTCGTCCTCTCGGGGTTTGGGCGTCCCCCTGATAAACCACTCCAGGTGGTAGCCCACTGCTCCGACCATGAAGGCCACGGGGAAGGTGACGTAAGGCGCGTAGGTTCGCAACCCGGTCCACAATACAAGCCACATGACTGCACACCACTTTTGTTTCCAAGTACTACATGACAAATAGAAATATACAGGTTAGGTTTTATAAAATGGGTGTGGTGAGTTTATATAGAGCAAGAAATTGCAGCAAACACCTTACCATCATAATCCAATCTCAATGTCCCTCCCTGTGCAATAACCTGTCACACAACCTGTGTAGTACATGTTAATAGCATGTGCATTTTAGCTTATTACTACCTTGAAATGCTTTTCATTCAAACTCATCCTGCTTGCACCGTTATATTCTACCATTGTTGTTGTTTACCATCTCTCTTTAAGACGTAAATATAAATGCTTTTTTCACTTTTTGGTACTTTATTGTTGTACCCTTATTGCATGCTTTTATCATTTCTTGTTTGTTTGTTCTTTGTTTTTAGCGTGTGTAATCATCCCAAGCATTTCATTGTACTGTTAACCCTGTGTTAACCTGCATATGACAAATAAACACAACTTGAACTTAGGGTTTGGAGAACATTTAATGTAGGATCTACTGGCGCCCTCTTGTGGTTAGAAGCTGAAACTGCTGGTTAAACCAATTATGATCCATAAACAGCATCAGCCAGAAATTAAACGTTAAAAAAAAAAAATCTTTACGATCACAAAAAAAAAAGGCAAATGGTGCAGGGAATAAAACCAAAGTTAATTTACTTTTGTAATTCAGTTCAAAAAGTGAAACTCATTTTCGAAAGGTTCATAGCAGATTATTAGTGTTCATTTATGGTAGTACAGCTAATAACCACCCCTTTCCCCAATTAAGTTTCTCTGAATGATCTACGATATTAACATTTATTAATCATGATATCCAGGACATTATAATTTAACGAGATGAACCTGTGAGCTGAAATATATTTTTTAACCAGTGGATTCAGAAGCGTGCCATGCTAGCCTCAATGCTAACCTGCATTAGCTCGTCTGCTTCGATTAGCTAGTTTAAAAAACACAATGTCACAGCTTCCCTTTTGTTCTCGCATGTCTCATAGATGACGAATTAAAGAACTAACTTTCACTTTTAGCTGGTCATTAATTTGTCTCTGTAAGCTTTCCGATTTCCTTTATACTTAAACACAAAATGTTTTATGGTTACATTTATTATGGAGTTCGCCTTATCGTCGGTTCAGAACGCATTAAAGGAGATAAATGTTTGGGAAAATGAGCTCGAACAAACTGTCAGAGGATATAATTTTAAGAAATTTAATATAATGTGTATAACAGACGGCATTTACTAAACAACCGAACTTGACTGATGCACGAGACTAACCTATGAAAGGTTGAATGAAAAATCAGATAATTCAACCTTTAACCGACTCGTAACCTTCAAAGTACCGACAGTGTTACTTTGAACAAAAGCCCAACAACTATTGTTTACCTAAAACTACTTAACGTGACACTATTTGATGTCACAATAAAATTGCACTCACCTTTAGCGTTAGCACATTGGTACTGTAGTGACGCAACTTCCGTATGTGTGCCGGCATCCTTCAAAGTGAAATGTGATTGGCTCGTCACCTATACAATTTCTGGTGATGGAGCGCCATCTACTGGTACAGATGAGTCATTGCATCACTTCAAGCATACAATGAGAACCTGCAGGCATTGTGACAACTGAGATGGGTAATTTATGATAAAAATAAAATAAAATGTCTTTTTTTTTTTAGACTTCGGGTAAGTTTTTTTTTGTTCGTTTTACTCATTTTGTGTCCAGTCCTTGTGACGGTGTACAGAAAGCACAAAATAAATCTGTCAGATTCTGCTGTAGGTCTTTCAGAACAACATCATTGGTGCTCAAATCCTCTTTAATTAGTGTTAAATGATTTTCTTTCAACTTGTTTTTGATAGATCTCCGATAGCAGGCACAAAAAATTGTGTTTGTGACAAACCGATAGAATCAGTGTCCCCTAAATTTCACTTAAATGTAGCTTTTTATTGTGCGTCAACACAACCCTGGTTAATTCATTGAATTTAGACAAAATGATTCACAAGTTTAAGTTAAAGAAACTACTGGGCTGCACATAACTCATTGAAAGTGATGCCAATAAAACTGTACGGTAGCCACACAAGTCATATAAATCTTAAAAAAACAAACGTGTTTGACTGTACAAGACAAGTGGGTTGCTCCCTGTCCAACATAAGACACTTGTCTAGTCAAAAGAAGTGCTAAGACAATAACAAAAAAAAACTTAAAAACCATTTTGAACAGATCTGGTCAGGGAACACTGGTTAAAAGCTGACAGGAGTGAGTTGTCCTGCGACCATTAAAGTTTTAAGTTAAGCAATAAAACCTTTTTGATTTATAAAGACACACGCATCCTGATTCATGCTCAACAATCCAGGCAGAAAAGTAAACAAGTTAAAAAGGTTTAGCCTTTGTTTATTAAGGCCTGCCGCTAAAAGCAGATGACGACCGTGTTAGCAGCGTCAACAAAATATCTCACGAACCAGCCGTCAGATTTTAATGAAACTTTCAGGAATAGATATTCCAAGTCCAATTCAAGATGGCTGCCACAGATAAGGCTACAAGTCATTTTTTGCAGATGCTGAGCTAAGCATGACGCAGCAGCAGCTGAGTCATTCACAGCATGACATCACACTCCAAACAGAAAAGGCAGTGGGTGCTATAAGAAAAACCTTGCCCTTCATTTTTATTCAAAGCAAGGAAACGGTTCACATTTCTGTCACGTACCTAAAGCATCTCGACCTCACCGTGGGGGGTGTTTCTGTATGACACAGCCGTGTTGCGTGCATGGCTCCGTGTGATGGATGACGCTGATTATTCAGCTCCCACGCCGAGAAGTTTGCCAATTTAACAACGCTGGGCAAACAGTTGATGTAGAGCAGCTGGACTGCAGCCTGTCGTAGAGCAACGACCAGCTGTGGCTCAACGCTCCCCTGCAGAGCACATGCAAACAGGGGGGGGTATGGCAGCCGTGTCCAAAATGTGTAATAATTAGCTCCAGAATGTGTTGGAATTGTGATAAGTGGAGTCTTTGGAGGAGATTATGTTTGAAAATCGTTCCTTTTAGCACTTGATCCCTCCGCGTCGTCTTGTTGCCAGGACTGACATGTGATCAGCTCCTGTCAAACAGAAGTGTGCTCGTCCACCCCCCCAGTTCAGAACTACATCACTTGTTCTGCTCTACCAGCGGCACGGCCGTGTGACCTCAACACCCCGTGGACCCGCTCCCACTTTTGAAATGTCAGTCCTGAACCTAAAGCTCCTCGTTGCACATAAAAACATCTGGATTTAGTCCAGTCGCTGCTGAAAATCCTGATAAATCCAGGAGGTAAAGGAGAAAAGAACTGAACGGGCTGAACAGATCGAGCAGGAAAACAGAAGAAGCTGCAGCGTTCTGCTCTTCATGCAGCCATGGCGACATAAAAGAAGAAAAACTACCGGTCGGTGACGGCAGATCTTCTATTTTTAGAAACGCTAGGACTTTAATGAGCCTAATGTTCCTCATGAATTCTTTTACAGCTCCAAACGCTACAAGTAAATTAGATCGACCAGGGATACAAGTTCACAACATTTATTTACTTAACGCACAACAGATCATCACAATTAATAAAATCAGATTAGAAGCATTAAAGTGGAGCGTTTCAGGCATTACTCACAAAACTATTAAGTGTTGGCACAATTAAAAAACCTGATCATTTATTTGGACTGAAAGTAGAGACGATGATGAGTCTCGTCTTTCAGTCATCCGACAGTTTTCTTCGTGTCACGAGTGCAACTAGGACAAAAAAAAAAATCTAAATTAAACTAATGAATCATTTAGACGTAATTAAAATGTTCCCTGTAGTTCTTAATGTGGAAACAGAGGAAAACGTTCAGATTGTTTAACCCTGGAATGAAACCACCTTTGGAAACACCATTACCCCCCCCCCCCCCCCCTACACTGATTTTAAAGCTTCATCAAGTTAAAAAGCAAATGTTCTGCTGCAGCTCACGTCCTCCATCTCTCCTGAACTTGTAAATAATCATGGTTCTAACTCGGCTTTGAACTTGGACCAGTTCCAACACCCAGCTCTGGTTCTGTAAACAATCAACACCATGGAAGTTGTCTGGCGACGTTAAAAAGCCTCGGCTGGTTGCCACTTCCTCCAGACTTCCTGGTAAAGCTTTGGCAGACTTGACCCGACCCCCCAGTAAAGGGGGCTCACATGAGCCTTGTGATGGCACCAGAGAGGAACTCTTCGTAGCTGAGGCGGATGTTGCCCGTCCTGCTCGTGTCTTGCTCCCTGAACACCTGCGTCATGCTCTGCAGCTGTGTGCACACCTGGATGAAGCGGTCCAGCTGTATGCCGAGGCCCCTCACGCCGAAACGCTGCACCAGGGACTCTGAAAACTGGGGGCTGAGGTTGTAGCCCATCTGGGCCAAGGCTGGGGGTGGATTAGAGAAAACGAGGAGTAAAACACCCAAACGTCCTGCAGCGTGTGCAGCGAACAGTCACACAGCGGTACCTTGGCTCAGCTCAGTGCTGCTGATGGACCCGGAGCGGTCCCGGTCGTAGTTCTGGAACAGCCCCCTCCACTGCTGCAGGTAGTCCCACAGAGCTGAGAAACCAAACAGGTCTATCTGACCCGACCGCGTCTTGTCAAACATGTCTGAGGAGAAACAGAAACATTTATATTCCCAGTGGACGGAGGAAACGCTCAATGTCTCCACGACGACACAAACTAGTTCAGTGTTGCAGCAGCAACAGCTTTAAAAGCTGCTCCCACGAGTCTCAACTCCAACAACTGAGCTGAGGTTCTGGAGGAGAACCGTTCATTCTGGTCTGATGGAGGGTTCTACCTGCTCAACAGCCCTCAATCTTTCTTTTTTTTTTTTTATTTAAACAGATTGTTGTTTTCAAACCAGTATAAACTTTGATTTTCTTCCACATGGACCTGCAGTCTTGTCCAGATTCTTAAAATATTTGATAAAACACTTTTACATTTAAAGTCCTGCAAATTTCAATGAAGGAATTTTATTCTGAAATAGTTCCTCTACTTTTAGATGCAGTTTTTACAGACTGCTGAACCTCCACCCATCTTTACCTCTGAGAGAATCAGCCTCTAAAACACTGATTTTATCCACAGTCCTCATTAAGCTGCTGTCAATCAAATCAATTCTCTGGAAAAATATGTCCTTTAAGGTGTTTTTTAATGCTTCCATTTTACTTTTACAACCTTGATGTCTCTTTTGACATGTGTTCTTTTGAATTATTATTATTAATACATTACATAAATATACATGGTGGATGGGTTAAATGCAGAGACTAATTTCATAATTGTATGGAAACATACAGTGAAGACAATGTGATGACATTATTATTGAAATGTTTTAAATATATTGCTCCTGGATGCCTCAAATTTCCCCCTGTGATTGATTAAATAAATAAATAAATAAATAAATAAATAAATATAAAATCATTCAAAATTACCTTGTTTTTTTCCTACAAACTGTACAATATTTTAGTTTCAACGTGTGATATGATTACATTGAGAACAACATTTGGGTTTGTGAGATTGGCAGATCATTGCACTGTTTTTATCATTTCCATTTTACACACCGTCCAAACTGTTCAGGATCAATTCGCAGCTTTTTATTTATTAATCTTTTGATAATCTCCTTCTCCCGTTCAAAGCAGCCATTTAAGACACGAAGAGCAGAAGGTGAAAATTCATGTGAATCTGCCCCAAGAAACAAATTTCAACAGAACAGACTTTTTATTTCTAACTTACTGATCACCATGAGGCTCGTCTCGTCGTTAAAGGTGGACCAGTTAGAGTTGACCAGAGCCTGCTTCAGCTCGTTTATGTTGATGGACCCGTTCTGGTCCGTGTCGACGGTTCGGAACCACTGGTACGCCTCTGGGTTGACACCGGGAGGGACGTTCCCTACAGAGGAGGAACGTGGGTCATAAAGATGGAGGAGGACGAGTAGTTCACATGTTTTGTCAGTAAACACTCGAGTTACTCTCCATCATTTCTAATCCTGACATTTTTAAGACTCGTTCATTTCCTGAAGGTTTATGAAGTGGGTTATATCCAAGACCAAAGAAAGGAAATGACAAAGATGGTACTGGTTTTAGATGAATGGTTAATTTCTTACAGTCCTACCAAACCTTCCTGAAGGTTTACTCTCCAACGTTGCTACACATGGACTCAGAGCAGTAATAAAGAATATGAAGAGAGCAGCACAGGTCTTAGAAACATCATTCAGTAAGAGAGAGGTGTTGTCGGGTCAAGAGGCCATTACCTGAACACATGGAGGGAAAGAAAAGAGTCTTAGAAAATATGTTGTGAGAGGAGCAGAGGGATGGTTGATGATGTCTGTCCCTGTGGGGGGGAGTGATGGAAACACAGACTTTCAGGTTCTGACTTGAGGCACACACACGATGCCCCCTCTGCCGTCTCTCACTCAGTGTTAGCCGAGTCATTACTCCAGCTGTGCAGTCCAGCTGTGGGGCACAAACTGAGCCCCGTCTCCACATGAATGTCAGGGAAGCTCAAGTTGTTTACATCCATCATCCCCACCAGAAACAGAGGTGGAATGAAAAGCAAAACGGAAGCAAAAGGAGGAAAGGAATGAGACGCGGACCAATTGAGGACTAAATGTGCCTGTAGTTACTTTTACATGTGCTGCTGTGCAGCTTTACCCCATCGTACCTGCAGGAGCATGGGGTCCTCTGTAAGGCTGTCCCCCGTAACCTCCAGGTGCACCAGTAGGTCCAGGCCCATACTGCCCATTGTGACCTGGGGCTCCATAACCACCATAGGGACTTCCTGCTGAACCAGCACTACCTCCATATGGTCCTGAAGGAGACCCATAAGCACCCCTGCCTGCTCCGTATGGATTACCCGCTGGTGGGTTGCCTCCTCCTGGATAGCCCTGCAGCGATATCAGAGATTCTTTATTGTCATTCGCACCTCATGTGGTACATGTGGTGGAGCGAAATTATGTACACAGGGTCCCAGTTACATCCAACAATAAAATGTAAAAGAAAAACAATGATAACATCTAAGATCTGAACTATGAAAAACATCAACTAAAAATACACTAAGCACTAATAGCATAAAAACAATAGACGAACATCAGCACAAACATGAGTCTGTGCAAGTAGATGAGCACGCATGAACACATCAACATGAAACAGATCAGCAGCAACATTGAAACAGATCAGCAGCAACATGATGCATTTTTCCACAGTGATTATTCTGGTTAGAGATTCGTGAGCCCAACAGCCTCAGGGTAGAAGCTGTTCCTCAGTCTAGTGGTTCTACACTTATCTGGTTTCAAACTAGTTCAAATATATGTTGAGAGGCTTGAAAATGACAGCACTGACATTCTTCATTAAGCCTGAAAACATCAGCTAAAAAGATGAGGACAGCAGCTGAAATTATTCCAGGATTGTATTGTAAAGGCTGTTGTTGCTGAAAGAAGCAAGTTTAAAATAAAAAGGAAAATGGAACCATTCATTCATTTATTTTTTATACACTTTAAAAAAGGATTAAAACCTTGTGTCGACTTTGTCGTGATAGAGAATTGTTGGAAGAGTGATGAGCAACATAAAACATACACAGCTAGTCTCAGACCAAATAGTAACAAAACTTGAAGCTAGATTTAAAAAAAAAAAAGGACAAAACTCAAAAGTAATAAAATATCAATTAGATTCATATTAAGCTCTGGCTATGAAATAATTTCAAATTATTCTCTTAGGCAGAGAAGTTATTGTGTAGTTCCAGATTTTTATAAATTACTTATAGTCCTCATGCATGCTCATGCTACATGTACAGTTATCTGCAACATACAAATTGGAATACAGGTAATTAAAAATAATAAAAATTAAACATGGCTTTTGTAATAAAATAAACCCCACTTCCAGACAATGTAAGAAAAGTTACCTGCTTCATCAGATAATGCTACAATACTGAGCATTAATATAAATAAATGAGGATTTTCTTTCTCTCCCTTTTCTAAACTAAACCAAGGTTTCGGTGTTGTGTCGAAATTCGTTTCCCCACCTTTCATAGGTCCCGCCTTTTTGGTCTAGGAGGTTTAAAACCCATCAGCGTGTGTTTTATCCGATTACACATTTGGACATAGAACAATACAATTCACAGTAGATGATATGATCGCCATGAAGTATCGGACCACCTGTGTGCATTTGAAACGTGAGCTTTTATTTTCCTCCTGAGATGAGGAGACATTTTTAGTTGTAATATTCGGCCTTCAGGGAGCCGTTTAAGAAAAGGACAAAAGACACAAAAACAGTTTTTGTATTACAATACAGTTGTTTAAAAACAACAAAAAAGAAAACAGAACGAAACTCGAGGAGACAGCTTTCATCGTGGGGGACACATTTCGACGCAACACCCCTCGGCTGAACAACTTTCTTAACCCCAGAAACTTTTACGCTTAATTTTGCCTTCTAAACGAAAACGACTTATCACGACTGTGACTTAAAATTAATAATGACCTACAGTTTATTCTTCATTGAGTAGAGATTTCAACAATGCAGCTATTATTTGAAAACAGAACATTTCAGGCAAAAATAGTCAACTTAAGAGCCACCGACTCTGCTAGCCATAGCAAAAGCTAACGTTACCTATTTTCCCCTAAAAAAAAACACATACACAAATTAAACTAATTTTACATGCCAGGATGACTGACGCAAACAACACAAAGAAAGAAGTTTTCATACCTGACCGTAGTGGAAACTCATGATTTGTTTGAGACTTCACTTCCTCCAACAAAGCATCCGTACGCTGGAAATGCCCAGAGTGGCTTGTTCAGAGCGATTATTGGTGCATCGTCCTGTCAATCAAAGCCGTAGGCGTAACTCCTGCTTCTGATTGGTCAGTTAAGTGGTTACTGTGATGACGTAAACACAGCGGCCCATCCCTTTCTTGAGGTAAAATCAACTGTTTTGTTGATGAGTCACTCATTTTGTCTCATTGTGATGGTTCATTCGTGTTGTAGTTCATTTGTAAAACACTGTTATTTAACAATAGAGTGAAATATTACAGAAAAAATACTGTATTGTTGGAAAATTAATTTTATTGGTCATTACAATAAATAACGTGTTAAACAAAATATTCTATTATATTATCTACAATACATTCATCACTTTAAAAACCCAACTTTTTTTTAGCCACAAGTTTTCAGTTGCTTGATTAAGTTAACACTATTTGTACAAAACAAAGTGCTCTGCTTTGGCCTTTTTTTAATTAGTAGCGCTTATGCTAGATATTTTCTTTAGCTTCTTTTTCCTCTTTTTTTTTCTACAACATATTTATATTGCATCTTTCAGCAATTGACTTGTATTTAACCAGCTAAAGCTGAAACAAAGGCCCATGCAATACACAATTTGCAATAGCTACAATACTCATCTTGCAAAACACTTCATTCACACACACAAAATAAAGAAATATTTACAAAACCCTGTAACTCCCACAGTAACTCTCCAGTTTTGGAAGAGGATTTCAGTGCAAGATGTGCTGAAAGTTGTGAGCTTCCTCAGAAATAGACAAATATTTGCTAATTCCAGAAGATCATGAATGGCTGCAGAGATGGAGTTCATCTCGAGTTCCTGTTCTTCACAAAAGTCTGATTAAAAACATGTTGAGTACTTAGCTTAGTTTTGTGACGGTCACCATCCATCCATCCATACATACATCCTCTTTATCCACTGTGTAAGACGTGGGGTAAACCCTGAACAGGTCACAAGTCCACCAAAGGGCCACACAGAGGCAATTAATCATTCACACCTAGGCATAATTAGAGGAACCAATTGGTCTGTTGGAGGAAACTGGAGAAAACCCATGCATGCATGTGGAGAACATGAAACTCCACCTAAAAAGGCCAGGAGGCCACCTGGAGATCTTCTTTCTGAGGGGTGATGGCTCTACCCACTGCTCCATGATTATAATTTTTTAACAGGCATCTCTTCAGCTTGGAGGTTATTCAGGTTCTGAAATGACGCTGTAGGGTCCACTCTGATTAAGGGTTTGGACTTGAACAGTGACCTTGGCTGTGACAGCGGTGCCATCTCGTGACTCTCGGCAAACCGAATTTGGTTCTTCATCTTTTTCTTCCTAATGATCTTCTGGATACGCATGAAGATGAGGTAAACCATCTCACAGATGCACATGACGATGCAGGCTACAGAGGAGACCACCATGAACAGCGTAAAGATCTTTTTCTCCGTTGGACGGGAGATGTAGCAGTCCACCATGTTCGGGCAAGGAGGCAGGGAGCACTTGGTCAAGCGGGGCATGTCATAACCCTCGTAGATGTGGTGCAAAATGTAGAGGAAGCCAGTGTCAAAGCCTGCCTTGAAAATCAGGCTCGCCTAGGAGAGAAGATAAAAGTGGGTTACATTGAAAAGAATCAAGGCCGTCACATCTACTTGCATTTAAAGAATCTGTGTTTTAATTAGTTTTTAAGTGGGATATGTGAACAGAAGCAACACAATGGCATGAAGTTTGAATTTTTACATGCTTTTCTCCAGATCTGACTTTTTTTTTTTAAATTATCTTACGTTAACCATGAAAGTTTTATTAAGAAAACAAGTTTTGTTTATTCAACTGTTTTTGCTCAATTTCTGTACAATTGACTGAATTATAGCCAATGAAATTAATTAAAAATGCACCCAGTGGTTACTGATGTTTTCCATTTTTGGTAAAAGACAGAGACATGCAAAAACATCATTGCCAGTCTTTCTCCTTTTGGATGCAGGAGATTTAAAAAAAAAAAAAAAAATGTTTCCTCAAAATCAACATATGATTAAGGCACAAAAGTGATTCTTGTGTTCTACCCAGTTCCATCATTCAGCATCACGTTGATTACACTTAGTGATGATCGACAACAGTAATGTCAATCAGCAATGATGTTTGCCAGCATGGCTGTCCTTGTTTCAGATAAGAAATTCCTATTTTGCCCAATTGTGAATTCAACAAATTATTTACTGCAAGAACATCAGTATAACAGAATATTTTAAGCCTTATGTATCCCTTGTCACTTTTGCTTTAGACAGTTGTTCTCGCTGTTTGAATTTTCTCAACTGAACAGTGTTTGTGTTGCTTTGCATGCTCAGATGCTGCTAACTGTATCCTGCTGTGAACAAGCTACGACTCACAAGAGACTCCGTGAACGCAATTAGCATAGCAACACAAATGTTCGGTCGGGAATACCGTAGTGTCAACACAAACGGCTGTCAAAAAGATCTGACAAATACTCACAGAGATGGCCTAGTCTCTTTGGAAGTGATGCTCTGTCTAATGTTATCAGTAGTTGGTACCATGCTAGCTGTATAAAGAAAAGGCAGAAGTCTTTATAGCTAGCAGTTTATATATATATATATATATATATATATATATATATATATATATATAT